AATTGATTAAACCATACTAATGCATCACTAATGACCATAAAACAGAAAGTGCCAAAACTAATGGATAATTTGCTGTGAAGTTAAAAATTATTCAGGGCAAATGTGGAAATAGTAAGTGAATGAAATAAAAGGCAGAGAAAGGGGGAAATAGAGGAGAAACACGGTTAAATAATGAGGAGAAAGAAGAAAGGGAGTAGAGAAAGATGTTATGGAGGGGAAGGGAAAAGATAGAGATGGGAAGAAAGAAAAGAAACAATTTCCTAATAAAGTTCAAAAACAAATTTGGAAGGGGAATAAAAGAAGCCTTGAGTTAAAAATAAGTTAAAAATCAAAGTACTATTAAAGGTATCGTGGAGAAAATAAAAGGGGGAAACAAGGCAAAATGAAAAAAGGAAGAAAAAAAAGGAAAAGAAACAAGAATGTCCATCAATGAAAAAATTCTTAACCAAATTAGATGAATTAGTAAAGGAACAATAAAAATATGCAGGGGACATTACAAACAAGAAAAACAGAAGAGAAAAGCTGGCACACTGGAGCAGACCTTTCTACGTCCTTGAACATGCAGGTGGCCAGTTGTGTGTTTTGGATGGAGTGTTAGTTGTACTTGAGGACTTGGCTTTCTATGATTTATGCTGGATTTGAGTCTGTATTGGACAAGTGTTTGAAGTCTACCAGAGCCGCCTTCACTTTGGCAGCCTCCTTTCTTTGTGTACCAGGGGCCTCTGCTAGCCACACTTAGTTTTGTGGTCTCTGGGATGGGCAGGCTCTCACCTTGAGACTCATCAGATAGAATCCCCTGGAGTATCCAGGGTATATCCCAAGTGTGTTGAGAGTGTGGAAGCAACCACAGCACTGAGGTGTATACAGGCAAAGGACCTGCCTTATTCCCTTTTTAGACCTGACTGTTAACCACTCTGCTGGAGGGATGCAGCTGTATCAAGCACACTGCTGGAATGTCAGAGTACTTGATGAACAACAGATAGGTGACTGCAACAGTTGATCATCCACTGGCCACAGAGCCATACTACTAAAGTCAAGGCCTCGGTTGATGAGCTCTGCTCCCAGTAGCTGTGCTTTTTAACTTCTCAGTGTCTGGCCTTCTTGCTGGTCACAACTGTTGCCCAGAGCTGCCTTTTGCTCTGGGATAGTGGCTACTTAAATTTAGGGTCCATGACTTGTGGATCCTCCCCTGTTCTCAGGCCCCAGAGTAGCTCAGTTTTTAGACAACAGGTTTCTTCTTAAGGTGATATACAGCCCCTGCTCTCAGAGTCACAGAGTGACAGAATGGAATTCTTTTGCATTCTTGACCCATGTGTGGGAGGAAATCGTTAGAATGGTTTTGTGTCTCCAAAGCTCACAACTGGGTTTGAGGCTTGTGAGGACTGTGTGTGGGCTTGTTTTGAGGGTAGGACTGGGCCTCCCTTTTCACCTGGGTCCCTGGATTACCTTTGGGCGAAGGCTTCTGCTTCACCTCCCCCACCATAGAGCTGTGAAGCTAGAGCTGGGTGCTGCTTGGCTTACTTGGCTTTGGAGCATTCTCCACGTCTTTCTTATACTCCAGATGTTTTAGCAGTACCTTTTGGCATTTCCAAAACTTATCCTCCTTCTGTCTTTGTAATAGACTATTATTTTTCATATGGAGGCTTTGCTTTATCTGAGTCACACCTGACTCCTTTTTATTTTATTTTTTTTAATGTTTGTAAGCTCTGTATTGATGTTACCTCTTTGATTCCTTGTATTGATAATTTCATCTTCTCTTTTTTCTTTATTAAGCATAGCAAGAGGTTAATTTTTTACAAACATGAAAACACTAATATTTAATTAGACAATATGTAAATTGCAGAAAATTTAGGAAAAGGAGTAATTCCAGTAAAAAATTGCTTAATCAGCTTGCATTTCAAACTGAGTCTCCCTGTAGGCACAGCTGGCCTTGAACTCACAGAGATCCGCCTGCCTCTGCCTCCTGAGAGCTAGGATTAAAGGTGTGCACCACCATGCCCAGCTTGCCATCATATTTTTAATATATTTTATTACTTCTTTGAGAATTTCATATATGCATCTAATGTATTTTGATCTTATTCACCCTGCTTCTCTTTAAATTCTCCCAGATTTACCCTGACCCTCTCCCAACTTCGTATCTTTTTTTTTTCAATTTTTTTTTTTTTTTATAATCAATTGCATTCAGTTTGTGCTGCACTAGGTGTGGAGACATCCACTGGTGCATACCCTTAAAGAAAACTTACTCTCTTTCCCTCAGAAGCCATCAACTGTCAATAGCTCCTCAGCTAAGGGGTATGGGGACTCATTAGATCCTCTTCTTATGATGCAATTAAATTTTATTTATTTGTGTTTTATGTGTATGAATGTTTTACCTGCATTTATATGCACTATGTGCCTGCTTTGCCCAAGGAGGCTAGAAGAGGGCATTAGATCACCTGGAATGGAGTTACAGATGGTTGTTAGTTGCCGTGTGGGATCTGGGATTCAAACCTGTGTCCTCTGAAAGAGCAGCAAGTACTTTAAACCACTGAGCCATCTTTCCAGTCCCCTTGAATTTTTTAACATTGTATGTTTATTCAGCAACAGTGATACATTTTAGAATTATAAAATACAGTGGGGGAAAAAAAAGTTTTTCAGTGCTTTCAAATTCCTGGCATGTTACTCTTTGAGGCTGCGGGGACAATAAATCAGTATTTCCAGGAATTTTAAGAAATTTAAAAATTACAATAGTTTAAACATACTAACAGTCTTCACACTCTGCTACTTGAATAGCTAAAGTTTTTGTTTAAAGAATAAAATACTCTAAATTTAATAGTATTTACAAAGAACTACAGCATACAGAAATATTCCTCATGGAATCGCATGTGGACACGGCCCATTTAAGGACTTACTTTGCTTACTTTAACATAAGGAAAATACGTTAAACTTTGTGAAAGCATTCAAAAGACTACACAAAATTTTTTCTATCTATCTATCTATCTATCTATCTATCTATCTATCTATCTATCTATCTATCTATATGAGCTCATCAGTGTGCATTTTTATTACTCTTGTTCTCCTGTCTAAATGTTATGCTAACCCATATGTACATTTGTTTGCATATATACATATAACCTTATAAACTAGCTTGAAGGAAAATGTGCAGTTTCTTTTTTTTCTGAGACTGGGTGAGCTCACTGCATATTATTACCTTGCGCAGGCAACCACAGCTACGGAGAGTTCATGGGTGCAGTGGTCCTGCCATGTCCAGAAGACACTGTTTTCCTCTGGTCCTCTTTGACCTATGGCTCTTACAGTCTTTCCACCCTCACTTCTGTGATGGTCCCTGAGCCTTAGGGAGGTCTGTAATATACATGTACTATTTGTGACTGAGCACCCCATAAGCACATTCTCTGTATTTTGACCAGTTGTAAGTTTCTGTGTTAACCACTGTCCACTGTACAAGGAAACTTCTGTGATGAGTTCTGAGAGCTGCACTCATCAATGGGTGTAGAGATACGAATTTAGATGGCAGTTTGGGATACTATGTCTATTTAGCAACATAACAGTAGTAGGATCACCCCTGGGGCCTACAAGTTCCCCAACTATGGGTTCTTAGCCAGATTTATAGTACCAGGCATGTTTCTTCCTGTGGAGTAACCTTAAATCCAATTAGAAAGTGGTTAGTTGCCCCCATAACATTCAAACCATTGTTGGACCTATGGGCATATCTTGCCATGGCAGTCTATTGTAGCTCACAGGGTTCACAGCTGGGGAAGACTGTTGATAACTTTCTTTCTCCCAGCAACCTCATAGTACCGTCTAGAAGTATGAAAAGTAGTCAGCGAGGATAAGGCTTCAGTACCAACTTAATTTTTCCATGTCCTGTATGTTGTCTTCAGCAGTAGGCTCTTACCATCAAGTACTGGCAGGAAACCAAAAGCAATGGCAATAGCCTATTTTGTTTGGAGGGATCTCTAGGACTCCTCTGACCAATAACTTGAGAGGAGATATCCCACACTTGGCACTGGGATGGAAGGCTAGGGCAGAGGAGGGCATAAGTGAAGGGATAACTATCATTAAGGATACTTGAAAAGGCCACACATCTATTATTTTATAAACTGTGTGTGCGTATGCGTGTGTGTGTGTGCGTGCGTGTGTGCATTTCATATAAAACATTTTAACTGGAGTTACCCTACACAGGGGATAATGCTCCTCCCAGAAGCCATAGGTTGCCAAATAAGAAGCCCAGTATCTATTTATTGGTTTTATTGATATTTTCATTTTTTGTCATTATCTATTTGAAATTTTGTTGGCTTTTCCTATCATTATTCTTCTATTCATTATGTTTGTTTTAGGATTATTTTACCTTTATTAGTTCACTTTATTAAGGTAGAAACTCAGATTATTGATTTGACAGTTTTTTCTTTTCTAAACCACTAAATTTTATAAATTTTCTCCAAGTACTGCCTCAGTGAGTATTGCAATTTTGAGGTTTTATTTTCATTTTCATTTGCTTCAGAATACATCCTAATTTGCCCTGTGAGTGTTCTTTGATGCAAAAACCATTTACAAGTATGTTTGCTTCTGGGCATGGTAGTTTGAACCTTTAATTTCAGTACCTGGGAGGCTGGCATAGTATTGCTGCAAGCTCAGGGCCAGCCTTGGCTGCACAGTGAGTTCCATACCAGCCTGGATTACAGAACGAGGCCCTCTCTTGAAAAAATCAAAACCAAACCAAACCAAAGCAAACAGACAAACACACAAACAAAGAAATATGTTCCAAAATGAACTTGAACAATGAAGCTGTCGTGGAGATGCCTTAGGGAGAAGGTATTTAGGTTTATATATTGCAGCATGCTGGCGTTTTCACAACTCAATGAAATACTGTAATGCTGCTGTCTTTGTATGAGCTAGACATGATACCTTCAGCTATTTGTTAATGCTTCCAGGCTGATGAGCAGGATTTGAAGGCAGGCTTTGCAGTCCTTCTCAGCAGTGTCTTCTCTTTGTTCCTTTAGTGCTTTACCATTGGGCAGAACTGGATCCTGAAAAATTCAAGATGCTAAGCCCCTGCAGTGCTCTAAGAATTCGGGCCTGAAACATGAAAACAAAAACAGCAAAACAAGACATCAGGAATCTGAATACCCCTGCAGGGGGAAAAAAAACCCACGAAAGGACTGTTCCATTTTTCTGTAATGCTGTGGTCTGATGGGCATTGGGTACTATCGGGTGGGTGAATTGCTCATGATGGAGGGTGCATACCCATGCCTTCCCCACAGAGAGAAGTCTATTGACTTTCCTGGGTCTCACCGTCTCTTGGTTTGCTTTTGGAACAGACTGGCCCAGCATCATGTCCTCAAGTCCACTGTGGTGTATTCTGTGTGTTCATGACCAGTCTTCAGCATGTTCCTGTTGTCCATCACAAGACAGGGCTGGTTTTAGAGTGTAAAGAGAGTAACCGACAGTAATGTATTGTATGAGACTTTGCATCTTGTAAATTTTTCTCTTTTTTCTAAAAATAAATAATAATAAAATCCTAACTCTCAACTTCATTATTAGATAGGTTCTGCTGTATTTTTGCATAATGATGTTGTTTGTAGAAGTACAATGAGTCTGAAGCCACTGTGGGTACAACCATACTTCTTTTCAGATAGGCCTTATAAGAGGCCTTCTACAGTGGCTCATATGTAGACCTCTGGTTCCAGAGTGAGAAGCTGTGTGTGGTAGTCTATGACTGATGACTTCTACTTGGAAATGTGATGGCAAGAAACGGGAATTTAGATGGGTTTGGGATCCAGCTCCAGAGTGGCCAGCCATCTGACTGAGAACAGATGCGGCTGTTCCACCCAGGAGGTGAGACAAGACCGCCCATGTTGGCCTCACAGACACCCTTTTCCAGCAGCTGCTCATTGTGCACATATCCAAGCCAGTATACTAAGAGGCACAGGAAGAAAGAACTGAATTCTGCCAAAGGTGCTTTTCCATTAACTGTTACTCGACTAGTGCCATATCCATAGTAGTCATTTTCAACGTTATATAACGTTGAGAAATAATATACATATATACTTAGGGTAAACTGTTTTCCTTTTTGAAATATTTCTTGCCTAACTGTAGAGGAGTTCCCTTGATTTGGCACTTTGGTAATGTTGACATATTTTCTAACCATGACCTTTATAATGACTCGAGTCTCTCCAGCTTGACCAAGTTGTCTATTTCAAATGAAAACATATTAAGAAGTAAGAAAAAACTTCTCAAATGACATCTCTAACGCATAGAAAGGATTGGCTGAATGTCTATGTTTTGAACCAGACATCCCACGGAATCTCTGATACTTTAACCTCTACATTTGGGATTAAAAACATTGCACTCCAGTGCAGATCCAGGTTGGCTCCCAGCTCTGTAGGTGGTGAAGTCCAAAAAACCCTCCTGTCTGAGTTAGTAGGGTTTCACATGAATAAAGTTTCTGAAATTCCTACTGTAAGTGCTTGGGTTTAGGATCACTGGGCAGATCTGTCATATATTTTCCTGCTGTGACACTTTATCACCACAAGTTAATGCTTACTGAATAGCTGCAGCCTGTCAGGGGAGATGAGGATTTCGTAGTAATAACCACTATATGCTAGATGTTTGGGTGGTGGTAAAATGGTAGGCCGTTATCATCCACAATCCTGTTCTGAACCCCATTTTAAAGGAACATAGATCAACTGGGGTGCAAACAGCAGTGTGTGGCCAAGTGTCTGACAGCTATCAGGAAGAAAAGGCTGAAAAAACTAAGGCTCATTAGTCTGGGAGAAATATTTCTGAATATTTGAAAGATGTATAGGAGGTATGGGGTTAGAAATTAAAGAGGGGCAATGGGTATAAATGTATTAGCATGGGATGCTGGCTTTCTAACAAAATGGTTCTAAGGTGGACGATAATGTTGGTAGCTTTTTGGCATCTGATCAGAAGATATGCACTTACTTATGTGAAGCAAGACCTTTTGTTTCAAGTAACTGGCTTAAATGTCTCCCTTTACAGAAAAGAAACAAACTAAAAGGGAGATAGTAGGGAACAGCTGCTACCTGAGGGAGGTAGAAAAATGATGAGTAATCAGCAGGGAGGAGAGGTGGGAGGAACATGGAAGGGACCATGGTGTGTGGGAGGGAGGGAAGCCAGGAATGGAAAGATGGCAGGCATCGAGAGTATTGGGGGGAGGATGGGGATAATGGCACTGTGACTAGGAAGGAAGGGAGGAGGGAGGCCGGATGGGAGAAAAAAGAGTAGAGATGAGTGAATCCTAGGGGGCAGGAAACCTTGAGGGAAAAGTGATGCCTTAGAAACCCTATGAGAAATGTACATAGAGTGTCTGAACATTAATGCATATGTATACCTTGGAGTCATTTGGAAGGGAATGCAGTGCCAGATAGAAGAGACCTCCTTTAGAGTGACAAAAATGCCATATAGCACTCATCAAAGAAACTTCTTTTTGCAACAGATGGAGGCTACCACTGTGTTGCACATCAGGTCAACCATAGAGAACATACACCTGGGAGATGTCTGGTACTAGGTGACACATCTGCAGTCAAATTACTATAACCAAGGCTCATGGAGCATAGTGGAATAAGGGGTAGAGAGAGGGTTGCTAATGCACCCCTCAACTCTCACCAGTGAGGCTTTCATGTACATCAGAGTGATTTACACACAGAAGGCCTCAACTGGCCAAGTTTTGGAGAATAAGAGACTGTGGAGGGTAGGATGAGACTTCTATATGAAACCTCACTCACCCATGGCTCAGGAACCATTGCGGAAGAGGAGGCGGCAAGATCGTAAGAGCCAGGGCTGGTTCATGAACGTATGAGGTGGAAGCATCTAGGCCAATGGAGGCTTGCTCATGTGAGCCTGCAGCAGTGGTGGCCTCCAACTCTGGACCTATGTCAGCTCAATTAAATAAGGGCCCAAAGCGGAGGCAAGCAATAGGTGGCGGGTCATCACTAAACTGAGAACCATTTGAGACTGGTTGCTGCTGGGTGAGGGAGAGTATGACTTACATACAACCACTGGATGGGCTGACTAGACTCTAGTGGATGCATTTACACTGAAGGGCATTTGGGTACAAGCACATGGACTGGGGAGGGGGTCTGGATGTGAGTGGGAAATAGTGTAAGAAATTTTAAAAGCTCAATTACAAAAAAGTTTAAAAAAAAAAAAAGTACCAGACTGGTAGAACTAACCTTCTTGGATGTTTAACAGCCATAATTTAAGGCCTCTACTAATCTGGTCAGAGGGACTTAAAGGACAGTTTGTGCTCCTTTCCCTCCAAGGTTGACTAAGTTCCAGGGGACTATGGAGCATCCATCAAAATGTCCTGTAACTGTGATGAGTCACCTGTCCTCTTGTTCAGGGAGGCCATGGAGACCCCACCAGATGGACTTGAACCAGTGTCCAGTCTACAAAGAGGAGGGTCAACACAGAGGAAACATTTCCTCCATGCTTCCAAGTGAAACCAGCCTTGGTCAAGTAGGACCTTTGACTTATCTTCACATAGATAGAACTGGTAAAAGAAAGGAGCCAGGGGCTCCTCCCCAGCCCATGTGACCCCTGAGGAACATATCCTCAGACAACCTTAAGAGTAAAAATAAATTGGTTTATTTGGGCCAACTGTATGGTCTTAAACACCCAAAAGGAAAGTATAACCAAAGATTAAAGTCCTCAGTATAATTCTTTAACAGTCCATGTGTATAGCTAAAGGCTATATAACAAGAAACAATGCCAGACAGGAGATACCTTCCTTTGGGTTGTTGGCCAGGGTGGCCTAAGAGACTCCCAGACAATAACCTAGCATAGAACTGGGAAAATGAGTAGCAGACCCCAATCTTATAGAAAGGAATGCTGATGACTGATTGCTGCTAGATGAGGAGAGCTGATCTTCCTAAAACAAGGGACTGTAGATAGGCTGACTAGACTCAGCGATGGACTTGTACTGGGGAATGGCTGGGGACACTGACAACACAGTGGGCAGTAGCAGGGATGGCAGAGTATATGGGCTCCAGTGCGGAGGGTGGAAGCTATGGGAGGGTGCCATTTGGGATGTGAGTATAAAGATGAATAAGATTGTTTGGGATGTTCTGTATGAAATACACACAAAAAATTAATTGAAAAAATCTCCCTTTGCAATATGCAGGGAACATGATGAATACCAGAAAAATGTTCAGGACATTTGTGGCACTGGATGAAAGGGAGCATTTCCATCACCACGAAAATCCTGGAATCAGAAAAGCAATGAACACACTTCAGACTGGCTCGAGAGGGTCCAATTTAACAGGCCAAGGTCATAGAAAGACAAGGCAAGGTCAAGGAGAAACCCCAGAACAGTCACAGCTGCACCCAAACTGAAACACCAGTTTCCTCTCACAATAACCCTTCTTTGGAAGGCTGGTTCCCATTCTGACTCTGGGACTAAAGGCAAAAATGAGGTCTGGGGTGCAGTTCTGTTGGCATAGCCTAAAACCCTCCATCTTTACATCCCTTCTAGCATCTCTGACTCCTGCCTTTTGCTTACTTACAAAGCTTGCTGTTTATTGTCTATTAAAACATCATTTGGATGAGAATGGGATAGGAGACTTATACCATGTATGGCTTTTCTGAGACACCTTGGCAGATCTCAGGCCCAGTACTTTAAACAGAGCAGTGTGCTGACAATGCTGGGAAGCGGGGTCCATTTAATCTTGCCTTTCATGGTTTATTTTATAGCAGAATAAGCACTTGTGGCTATACAAAATCTAGACCAAATAAAGGCTTCTTCTGGGGCTGTATGCTCCACAGCCTTGTCTCATGGTTGGTGGTCCTGGGGTGGGAGGGAGGGAAATTACTCTACCATGCTATATCCTGACAATGGATGGTGCTGACGGGCATAGACAGAACTTGTCTCCATTGATTTAATCATAAGGAACAAACAGTCCCATCGATACCTCATTTCTTCTGGCCCACTGTCATTTTGGTAATTGTAAGGCAGAGAGATGGTCTTTGCTGTTACTAATTTTTCATTTTCTGTCCCTGTTTAGCCAGGTAATTTTAGAATTCTTTGTAATTCATTGCTGATTGGGATCCTTTGAAAACACTGAAGGAACCTCCTATCAGAAAACATGGGCTGACTTCAAAAGTCAAGCCTCTCTCGATTGCATTAGGAAAGATGAGGGAGGCTGCCCTTTGATGGGAGGCTGCGGTAGGTGGGAGGCAGCCTTCCTAAGTGCTGCTATGCTTCATCTCTCTCTGGGTTCAGGCTGCACTCAATTTTTGGAGTTCCTAGAGCAACCTTTAGTTCCCATTAGGAAATTATATGTTAGTGATGGTATTTTAGATTGGTAAATCTAAATTAAGAGATTACTTTTAGATAATATATTTATTTATGGGAGCCCTTAAAATAACCTGGCTTTGAGTCTTCATTAGGGGTGGGTGAATTTTGAGGCTCATTCCTTGAGTAGAAAGTTCACTGGTGTGGTCTGTTGAAAGAGCTACAGCTGACAGCCCCTCAGCTGGAGGAAGATGGCTTGGACCCAGG